GCTTAAGGCCTTGTGCAATATAACTTCTTGCTGTAGCCAAGACAGTGACTATGGACAGTCACACATCTCTTCCATGAATACTGCTTAGTATTATGCTTCTGCCTTTCAAAGAAGACTTATAGAAGTGTTTCATGGAATGGCTAATATATTTTGGACTATGAGTTCTCTGACTGTTGACATACCATTACAATTTTACCAGAGTCCGAAGAATTCCTATTCCTTGAGAGAGAAATTCCAGGAGGATAGACATGGTTGTTAGAGCAAACCAAAGAACGGAGTAGATCAAGGTTGCTGAACTAGAACTCCCAACCTATCCCATCACAAGTCATATTAATGACTACTGGGGGTTGTAGCTCAGCAGTTCTATTGTGACATAAGCCCTTGTGGATGCAAGTTAATCATCAACTAATGCCACAATTAATATTTTAATCTTTAGGGATGCTTTCTCTTTGGATAGCAGCCCATCAACAAGAGAAATATGGTAGCTGTTATTTTCTACTATCTTATATTTATTAGACATTTGAGATAAGCTTTAAAATTTATTGGTGTGAGAGAGTTGGGGAAAGGAAATTCCTTCTCCAGATCTAAGATGCAGATTGTTTCCTGATCTATAAAACAGCAGTTTTCCCATTCCAACAGTCATGTTTTCTCTGACATACTAGTGGCAGTGTTCTAATGTGCTCTATAATTAGGCTTAAATGAAAGTAGTTAAAAAGAAACTCTTGAATTACTCCAAAATTCTATTCTAACTGAAATGAGAGTTAATGTAAATTAGCGTAAATGAGATTAGCAGTGCAAAGTAAGCAGAAAAAGCAGATGTTGTGGTGAGTGAAAATAAAAAAAATATTATACAACTGCCCATACATTTTTCCAGAAGCTGGGAAACAGTTTTCCACATCTTATTTACACTAAGTAATATAAGAGGTAGGGCCCTTTCTGAAAGAATGGGTCTGAAACTTGGGGTCCTCCTAGACTCAGAACTGCTACCAGAAGCACATAGTTGCTAAAGAAGCCAGGTTTCACAGGATCTTCTCAATGGTGTTACCCCATTTTGAGTCACCACATGATGGGCCCCAAAATAGGACCATGAGCAAGGCTTGCAGGCTGATCCAAGTGGGCAGACTGGCTACCGGAGGCAGAATTTTCTTCTAAGAACAAGAAGAGCAATACTGTATGCTTCTTTGGGTGCAATCCAGCCAGCATGATCTAAAGTGGAGTCTCATTCATTTTCACCTCTAACTTCCAGCTTAATTTGAAGCCCCGTTTTTTTCTCTCACCTCATGCAAGAGGAATCATTTTTCTTAAGAATTTTTATGTATGTACTTTTAAGTTCATCTCATCCTTAGATGTTCTTTCTGTTCATTTAATTACATCTAAATTAAGAAGAGAATTTTTCTCCTTACATTTTTTTGCAAATATATTTTACATATAATCAGTGTTGTATATTCACCAGTCTCTGTACTATTAGTGGCATTAATTAGATATCATTATAGTATTTTCTTTACAATAAGCAAAGATTTGGAGGACATACAGGCATGTGTACAGTAGTTCATCTTTGTCTTCTCAATCAGGAATTAGGCTGTTGCATCAAAATCTTGGCAGAATAGTACAACCTGGAATATGAATTACAATGTGTGGTAGAAAGAGAAAATGAATGCGGTGGTGTGATCCACAGAATGTTTGTTAATATTGCGTATTTTTGGAGAAAAGTGAATAATCATATTGGATGGAAAGAAAACCTACAGAGGATCACTTGTAAGAAGAGAGCCATGTTAGTTTACAGTACCCAAAGACTCTTTCTGAATTTTAGGATCTAGAAACTAAAAGAGCTGTCTGATGGGGATGCAAAAGGTAAGACTGTTGGCCAAGATGGCCATGGTCAGGAAGCTGAATGCAAAACAAGCTATAGGGATGGGTGAGATAATGGGCAGAATGCCTAGAGGTTAGAGTTAAAATGGTGGGGCAGAATTGATTGACAGAAAAGATTCTGGTTTGACAGGCATATGAGTTTGCTGAGGTGGGCAGGCAATAGTGTCCTTTAGTCATATTTCCTAGTATACAGCTTTGTCCATACCAAGGTGCCAGGATAATTTTAACTTCCCCTGATATTTGCCTTTATATGAATTGTTTTTATTCTGTATTTCCTTTATCTTTTTTAAAAACCTGTTTATCTTATGTCTTTACAATACTATAAATCACTTTGGAATACTTAAAATAAGAAACACTGTATAAGTATTTTTAATAATTAATGAAAACACTTTATATGTTTACTCTTTTTTTCCACAATCTGATCATTTTTAGAGGTGGGGGGCACATAATCAAAGCTTCCAGGAGCTTTGTCCTGGGGTTTCAGGTTCTGCATCTCTGATTCATATAGTGAATAAAATGCGAAGTAATGTAGGAATAGAAAAAAGATTATCATCAGCCTATTGCTTTAAAGCAGAAGGAATGTGATGCTTGGGCAAATGTTCATGTACAGTATATTTCGACAATCAGTTGAGATACAGTACAATCACTTGAATGCAGGCAGTCCCAACTGTGTTTTCATTCTTATTTCAAAAATATGAATTCCCCTGTGCATGTTTTTTTCCTTCTCTGCTTTTGCATTCTAGATCAACATTTTCATTCTCTCCTTCACAACCCCAAGTTTATAGAGGAGAGGTCAATGGTGTGTCACCTCTGACTTAGATCCCATCAGTATATTGGTAAAGTTAGGGCATTTTGTTCCCATATGTATCACTTTTGACTTATTTACATGGAACTGCATTTCTTATTTGTTACATTTAACACATCTGTTATTTTCTTGACTATTAACCTTGAAGTAGCTACCAAGGGTTTTTTAAATTAATTTTATTAATTTTTAAAAATTACATAAAAGTGCTTTAACATAAAAGTGAAAAAGTACAACAAAAAAAAGTTAATATATCGTTACAGTAGTACACAATTCCAATTCTATATGTGCTTATCTAATACAAATGTTATTCAAGTACATATATATTCTAATAGAGTTATATAACAAACCTGTGTTTTTTTTTTAAACCCAATGTATTTTGTATAAAGTAGCTGCCAAGGTTGAAAAATGCTGGTGTAAGGGCTACAGCTGGTGAGGCAGGAATCAATGCTGTTTAGATCAGACAGAACCTATGTGTGTTCGTGGAACAGGTAGATTCCAGTCTCCAAGCTGGAAAAAGAAGAGTCAAAGGTCAATTGGCTTGAAAGGGCAGACATAAGATTTAAACTTTAGGGTTGACAGACTTCTATATTGTGTGATTTTATGTTCTGCATCAAAGCAGATCTTCTCCTTATATGTGACTTCTTTCTTCTCTGCAATAAAGCACCTAAACTAGCAGCATTGAGTCACTGAAATTTCTGCTATTATTTAGACTTGAATGCAGAGTTATGTTTCTAAGAACAGCGATTTCTAGCCACGCTGTTCTAAAGTATGACAGAGAGTAATATCTGGACCTCTTCTAAAATTCCCTGAATAAGATCGGCCAATTGTACAATATAAATGTGAATGAGTAAAGACAAGGAGAGAAGCTTAATTATCAGCATCCTTCACTATTGAATCTGCTCACCAATGCTTCTGGGAGTTGTAGTTCAGCAACATCTGGATGATTACAAATTCCCTCCCCAGAGTTAAGGCAATGAGCTAGAATTTGATGACCAAACATTTCCTTTTGCTTTGATGAATTTGGTTTTTCATTGTACTTAGGATTAGTTTCTCATGTCCTGCAGGCTTCCTTTTTCCAATAGTTTATACAAAGTTTTATTTGATTTCATCAAAATCAAAGTTACCTTGTAAGTGAGAAGACACATATTGAGAGTCAGTAGAGTGTAGTTGATAAGCTGTTGGACTGAGACTGGGGAGATCCAGGTTTAAATCTGCCCTCAGCCATAGAATCCCCCTGGTGATTTGGGGCCAGTCATTGTTTCTGAATCCAACTATTCTTCACAGTTGGTTTGGAAAAAATGGAAGGAAGGAGTTCCACATATGTTACCTTAAGCTCCAGAAGGAAAAGAGAGACATCAGTATAATGAATAAAATAACCATTTGTTTTATCCAGTTATTTATCATGTTTCTAGGGCCACCCAACTCCATAATGTTTGGCAGGATACAATATTAAAATCAGTTTAAAATAATATATTGGGAAAGAATGATAAACAATGGAGTCCTTGGCGCTCTCTGGGCTTGGTTGTTTGCTTGCAGATGTTTCATTACCTGACTGGGTAACATCACCAGTGTTAGTGAGTGTGGGGTTTGCTCCCTGTTTATATACAGTAGTTTGCCCTGCCAGTGTTGGTGGGAGTGTGGTTTTCTCCTTGGTAGTTCCTTGATTAGGATATTGTTTTATGCTTGATTGTTTGTCTGGTGTTAATCCTTGCTTATCTGAGTGTTGGCTGCTGAAGAGAATGTGTTCTGGTCTTTTTGTTTCCT